TGTGGGTGTGGGATGTGTGTGAGGGTGTGGGATGTGAGTGTGTGGGGGATGTGTGTGGGGGTGTGGCAATGTGTGTGGGTGTGTGGATGTGTGTGGGTGTGGGGATGTATGTGACAAGTGTGTAAGTCAATGTGTGAGAGGGAGGCCAGAGCAAGCCAAGGGTCACAGGTTACCAGGCGCTGGCCAGAAACACTGGGCACCCTGTGGAGTCCTTTGTGCAGGGAAGAGGCCCAGCCTGTGCCCAGAGCTTCTGTGGGCCCTCGGCTGCGGCCCCAGCGATGACCTCCGCATCCCCTCAACACACAGACTTGAAGACCCACAGTCAGCCAGGCACTGTCCCCCACCCCCGCGGGGACATCAGTGACCCACACCACACCGGCAAAAACTCCCTTTCTTGGCAACTTCCTGGCACTCCCCCTCCCACAGCCACGTCTCCAGAAGCCGCCTCTGGCTTGCAGCCCTGCCCCTGGCCTTTGGCAGCCTCAGCCTTGCCTGCACATGGGATGGTGGGAAGGGTGGTAGGAACTGGGGCAAGAGGACGGGGGCAAGGCTGCCCGGGCCCAGCCAGGGGCTGGCACAGATGAGGAACCTTGGGGAGGAGCTTCGGCGGGGTCTGATCTGAGACCTTGTAGACCCTTCAGGCCACATCATACAATTCTCCAGGGAGAAAACGAGATGGTGTTCCAGGTCAAAGGGATCCGCATTTACCAAGAGCCTGCTCCCAAACCCCACTTCCCACGCGGCACTGTAGCTTTTCCTGGGTCTAGATGACTCCCCCTCCAACCCCACCCCCCACCAAAAATGACACACCCAATAAATAGATTTCCTCCATTTATTTTTCTGTTCTTGTGTTTACAAAAACATAACGGGTTGCGCTACCCCTCCACATCCCACCCCCTCCATTTGTCAGGAGGAGGGCAGGCATTTCGGGGGCCTGGGCGCTAGACCTCGCGGGTGCTGGAGAGGCCTTGGAGTGCGCAGGGGAGAACCCGCCCCTCTGCGCTCTTCGACCCCAACGTTTAGTCCTCGGCCCTGGCTCGTGGCTGTCTCTTGCCTTCTCCTAGGAAGTTTTCCCAGCCTCGGAAGCTGCAGAGAGGGAATAGCAGCTTGGAGTCCTGTGAAGAATCGGAAGGACACGTTAGTGGAGATCCTGGGCGGAGGAGAACGAGTGTTCTTTGGGGGAGGGAAACTGCCTTAGTTGACCCCGCCTGCGGCCTCCCACACATCTGAGAAACTGACCCCACCCACCTCTGGGTCCCTCAGGCCCCAACGGTGGTTTGCGCTCCTGGGTTCTAGCGCCCTTGGGTCTCGTTCGCCCGTCCCCGCCCGCCCTGCACCCTCCCGGCGCATCAGGAGCACCCTTCCCCACCGTCCAGGTTCTAGAGAGACCAGGCCACTTGGGCAGGTGCGGGCAGGGGACCGGCGTGGAGAGCGGGCGTGCACGCAGGTCCTTGGGTCGCGGAGACGCGCCTCCCCTCGGCCCTCAGTGGGCACTGGAAGTCCGTGAGCTACTTGCAATCCTGCAGTCTGAGGAGCATGGCCTGGAGTTTTAGCTGGTTTGCTGTAGGGCGCGCAGCTTCTCTGACATGCATTGTTGTGAGTTCACCCTAAAGGCTACGATTCAGAAACGATCACTGCCTGTATCGTTAAAACAGAAGATGATGCCTCTGTGAAATTCGCTGGACTTGCTCTGTGGGCCTCTTTCAGTGAAGTTAAACTGGCAACATAAAAGCAACACTTGAGAGAAAACGGGAATATGTCCAAATCTCAGGGTCGTTCGAGTCAGACATTTGCGCTCAGAACCCCAAGGAAGGCTTTTAAAGCTGCAGGACCCATCAGAAGGAGGAGACCAGGACCACCCCCCCGCGGCCCCACTTTGAAAGACCCCCTTCCCGGGCCCCTTCTCCTTCTCCTACCCCTACCAACGTTGGAAGGGGTCTGAACTTTGAAACTTGTCGCGGGGAAAAGAAGGCTGCTAATGAATTCAGGTGGCATAGTTCTCCAAAGCTGATGTTTTGCAATGATGACATGAGCGTGGCGGCCGAGGGTCCCTGCACAGAAAGTCTGCGCAGCTGCTCGGCGCTTTGAGGCCGGGGACAATGGGCGCAGTGTTAGGGCCTCGGCCTCTCCAAGCCATTTGCATACCCCGTTCTGCCTGAGTGACCAGCGGCTCTGCGGCGGGGAGCAGCATTGTCCACGGTCACTTCAAGATGACCGAGGTGACAAGAGCCAGGTGAGCGATGGGGCGGGACATCCCCCAACCCTGAGGAGAAGAAAACGATGCGGGGAGCCTTGGCCACAGCTTGGGTTTGTTGATTCTCGAGGTGGGGCTTACTTGTTTGCTCTTAAAGACCTCGTCAGATATTGCAGGGGGAAATTCGAGATTTTTAACAAGAATCTACAAAGCCTCATTTTGGGAGAAATTTGGGGTTATCTGGAAAATCCAGTGATCTTATGGCACTTCATTTCATTGCATTTCTCACTCTTGGAAGTTTAAAGTTCCATTGCCAAAGGGAAGCAGTTCCATTCTCTGTAGCCAAAAACTGTCACCAGTTTTTTGTTATTTTCCAGAAACACCCTTTTGAAAAGTTGCAACTGCGGCCCTTGGCCGGCAAATCCCAGCTGCAGAAGCGCCGGACGCCCGGACGTGAAGCCTCCAATCACCAGCCACGGCAGCTCCGGCTGGGACAGCGCGGGCGCACCGCCCCTCCACCGCCGCCAAACGGAGCGCGCTTGACGCCCCTGTTTTGACTTCAGCTTAGAAAGACAAGTCTTTGTAATGCAAGTTCCTCTTCCCTAGAGAGTTGACGCACCACCCGCCACCATCTTTACCACTAGCCCTGGAGCAGAGGCAGAACTGGGACTCTTCTCTCGGAGATTTCAGTTGTGGGGAGTGTAACTGTTGCCAATGATGTTCAGAGACCTGGATCCTTAAGGAGGGGCTCCTGGGGCGGGGTGGGACCTCAAGTGGGAAGGGTGGGTGGGACGATGGGTGAAGCCAGTGGAACCGAGACCACGGGGCAGCGGGGAGGCGAGGGTCTGAAGGCAACGTTCCCCCAAGCGAAACACTCTGCGCTCTGGCACTGACCGCTCCTCCAGTGCCTGGAGCCCGGGGCCCTGCCGCGATGCGCCCAGGGCCTCCCGAGGCCGCGCTCCACCCAGGCTGCGCCGCGGACCCACAGGCCTCCCTTCCCTCGCCCCTCCTCCTCCCTCCGCCTCCTGTACTCCCGCACCCCTACTCCAGCAAAAAGTGAGTCAAGCAAGTCCCGGGGAAGGTGCCCCACCGCCCTCGCCCGGGGGCACCAACACCTGGGCACACCGCGTCGCGGGCGGGAGCGGAGCTGGCCCGCACCCGCCCCACCAGCGCCCGGGAGGTGTCTCCAGGTCCCCACCCGCATTCGCTGAGGATTGCAGCGACGCTCATCTCGGGAATATAACGATTAATCCAACCGCAGGTTTCCAGTTAAGTGATTGTGATGGAGACTGTTGGCGAGAAAATAGACAATTATCCGCTGTTAGCTTTACATAAAGATCGCATTAACTCAAATTAGTTATCAGACAAAAGAACGTCGGCGCGCGTGCCCTGCCGGCCCGCGCCCTGCCCGCGGGGACCCCGGGGCACAACCAGGCCCGGAGCACTGCAGGCAGGGCCGAGGCCTTGGCCGGCGCGCTGCGGGACAGGGCGCGGGGAGAGGGGCACACACGAGGGTGCTCCGAACTCCGGCCCCTGCGCGGTCTGCGTGTTGAGCCCTCCTAGACGCAGCGCGGGGCTTCCGACTCGGACGCGGTGGCCTTCCCGGGCACTGGAGTTGCAGCTCCTCCCAGCGCTCCCCGCCCCAGCGCCCCCCACCCCCCAGCTACCCCCTCCACTGCGCTCCCCTCCCCGCCGCGCCTCTCCCGCCCCCGCGTCCCGCTCCCGCAGTCCCTCTTCCCCCACGAGTTCCATGAGGCGCTGCCCGTTTCTTTCTGGCGCCCGCAGTCCCGGCTTTGCGGTTCCTGAGTGCGAGGAAACTGCCCCTCGCCCTCGCCGCGGAATCAAACTCGCAGCGCAAGCGTCCTCGACCACATCGAGCGCTCTTAGACCATGGCTGCATGACCCGCCATCCCCACTCCACGCGCGCGGTCACTGTCCCACCCGGGGTCGCTCTCCGCGGGCCTGCGCTGCCACGCGGGGGAGGGGATCATCGGGAAAGGTGGGCTTCGGAGAAAGGCCGCAGAGCGACCCCGGAGCTGGGTGTCGGTGGCCTGGGGACCCCGGCTGAGACGTGGCCGTGCGGCCTGGACCCCGACAGAAGTTGCGCACTGCCCACGTGCCGCGTGGCCTCCTGGCACGCTCCTTTTCCTGTGTCCCCACTAGGGTTGACATCGGCCTGCCCGAAAACGGGTTTCACGGACGCAGGCCGTGCAAACGCACGGCCCAGCGCCCTGAGCCTCGGCCTGGCCGCAGCGCCCAGCGGGGTCCCCCCCACCGTCGGCTGCGCGCGCTGGCGGAGGTGCTCCCGCCCAGGCTGGCCTCGCTGGGCTCCCAGGGTCCCCGGGCCCCGCTGAATAGGGCGGATAATGACCCCCGGTTCCCAAGGCAGGCTTTCTGCTGCCTGGTGAGCCTTGGATTTGTGTGGTCCAAGCCTTTCCCAGCTTGTCCCATTCTGTCACCGGGATAAGGGGCTCCTTCGGCTCGTTTGCACCTGCGTCGCTTTTGGCTCCTTCAGGAATGCGCTGAAGCTTGTAATCAGCTTTGTGAAGCCATTGAGTGCACGGCTGAGTGAAACTTCCAAAGCTCGAGGAAAACGGGCCGGCTGAATGGGAGCCAGCATGGGGCTGCTCTCCAAGCCTCCGCGCTGCCAAATTCCAGCAGAGCCCCTCACAATCGCTCCGCGCGGGCTTGACTGCTTTCCCCACACTGAGAAAAGTGAGAAAAGAAAAGCGAAAATACCAGTCACCGAGGTTAGCCGCTTGTTCCCAGATTAATGGCAAACGGCCCCCTCCTCCTCCCCGCCCCCCTGCCCCCCGCCCCCCTCCAGCAGAGCGCACGGATGCAGGAAACACGGCAGAGAGGAGGGGAGGACAGTTATTAATAACTCCCCATCTGATTTCACATTTTCTGTCCCCTGCCCAGGGCGGGGGTCTTCGCGCCAAACGCGCGGTCCCCCCACCCGCCTGCAGGTGCTGAGCTGGGCTGCCAGCCCCTGGTCTGCCGCGCACCCACCCGTGGCCTGGGGAGGTCTAAGCAGTCTTGGCTGCGCGCCTTGCTCCAGTAGAGGAGTTAGATGAAGCCAAACCTAAGATTTCCCAAAACTAGCACTGCAAAGCCTCCACAGTACTCTTAACAGGAAACAAAAACACAAAACCAGCCCTGGGCCTCCAGTGACTCCCATCCCCGCATCCACTCAGCAGGGCCCGCGCCTCCAAAAAGGCACCTTTGGATTTCAGGGGCTTGGGAAAGAGGAGGTGCAGGGAAGGGAGGACTTCTCTGACACCCAGGGGGTGTGTGTGTGTGTGTGTGTGTGTGTGTGTGTGTGCCTTCTTGCAGATAATGTAGGCCAGATAATGTAGGCGTAGAGGTGCCTACAGCTGGAAGCACCCCCCACCCCCACCCCACTGCAGCCTCCGTGGCAGGTTCTGGAAGACAGGCGTTCTTCTGCTGTAATTTCTTATCAAGGGTCTAGCCCTTTAGATCAGTGCCTCCCAGGGCTGTCCCCCAGGCCCTTGGGTCCCTCCTTCCCAATCAAGGTAAATCAGGGTTCCAGGCTGGCTTTCTCTCCAAAAATGGAGATACTTGGCAGCCAGCAGAAAAGCATCCAACTCGCAGAAGAAAAGCAAGCCAGCTCCTCCAGGACAGGGCTCCTTCCTGCTGCTGTTTCACCCCGTGGTCCTGGAACCGTGCCTGGAAGTGTGTGCAGAGGAGACACTCAGTACCTATTCATCAAAGAATGCTGTCCAGCTTTACCTCTCAAAACTCAAGGCCTGCAAGCAGGTCTTCTGGAAGGGAAATAGGGAATCTTTTCTCTGGAGGGTTCATAGGGCCCTCTCGTCAGTGAACCGGCACAGGCATTACTTGTGGGAAAGAAAGTAAAGACGACATGTGATCCCCATGTACAACTCTCTTTAAAATCGCTGTGCATTTCTTTTGCTAGTGAATTCTTGCCACCATGAATTGGACTCTTTTCCTTTTCTGCAAGCACAAATATGAAGCACGAGTTTTAATATCCGAGCTAGATTTGCATTCCTTCTAGTAAACACGCGTTCAGTTGTCCAGGTTTTCTTTCCCCTGCTGCAGAACCTTGCCTTTGTAGGGGCACCACAATGTCTGACTGCTGCTCTGTGCTATAAATAGTCCCCTGGTGGATCGAAAGGTTTAATGGGCCTCTTTAAATACCGAACTTATTATAAAGCCCCGGGAGAATCACATTAACAGGCGAAGAAGAGCAAGAAGAGAGCTCCCCCTGTAGATGTCCTGTTACAGCATTCTTGGAGACCTGGGACAGGCAGGACTTCTATTTCTATACATTAACGTGCGTGAGAAGCCGCAGCACGCTGGCGCCAGGAGGGGCTGTGGAGGTGAAGCGGTGCCTCTAAGCCAGGAGGAGGTGGCACTTACGAGAGGTCAAGTGATTTGCCCAGAATTACCCAGGGGCATCGTGACTGTTATCAGTAATAATAAGAAGTCAGAAAAATCAGTGGATGCTTTGTCTTGTTTTTAAACACATCAGATAGTCTTGTTTAAAAGCAAGGAAAACCCCCCTTCAGCCAGTTCTGAGTCCCCAAAGGTGACACAATGGCAGAATTGGTGAATCTCAAAGAAAAGTCGAATTTCTCTCTATGCCAATCCTTTTGTCGATGCTAAAATGCTTTAAACATTTCAAATTCATACCGCCTGCTTTGACAGTTAAAGTTTACTTTTTATAATAAAGTTTGACATGTTTTCAGCAACATTTCTCCTTCCAACCATTCTCAGTAACAAGTCAGGAGGATATGCAGTAATTCAGAAATTAGTGAAATTTCGTTCCTGGTGGGGGTGTTGGATTAAGAGGCTGGGAGAGTGTGAAGC